AAAAAATCCTTGTAAGTGTATTAAAATGTTAAAAAAATCCTTGTACAGGGTATTAAAATAGTAAAAATACCCTTGTGCAGGGTGTTAAAATAGGAAATAAAATCTTTGTGTGTTAAAATAGTAAAAAAGTCCTTGTGCAGGGTATTAAAATAATAAAAAAATCCTTGCACAGGATATTAAAAGAGTGAAAAAAAATCTTTGTACAGGGTATCAAAATAGTAAAAAAATCCTTCTAAGTGTATTAGAATAGTAAATAAAATCCTTGTAAGTGTATTAAAATAGTAAAAAATCCTTGTAGGTGTATTTAAATAGTAAAAAGTAGGTGTAATAAAACAGTACAAATATCCTTGTGCAGGGTATTTAAATAGTAAAAAAAATCCTTGACCAATATATTAAAATAGTAAATAGAATCCTTGTATTTAAATAGTAAATAAAGTCCATGTAAGTGTATTAGAATGGTAAAAAAATAACTGTACAGGATATTAAAACAGTAAAAACCAAAATGTGCAGGATGTTAAAACAGTAAAAAAAAAAAAATCCCTGTATATGTATCAAATAGTCTCCTGGTACACGTTATGAATAGAGGAAAAAAATCCTTGTAAGTGTATTCAAACAGTAAATCAAATCCTTGTACAATATATTGAAATAGGAAATCAAATCCTTGTACAATGTATTGAAATAGGAAATCANTGAAATAGGAAATCAAATCCTTGTACAATATATTGAAATAGGAAATCAAATCCTTGTACAATGTATTGAAATAGGAAATCAAATCCTTGTACAATGTATTGAAATAGGAAATCAAATCCTTGTACAATGTATTGAAATAGGAAATCAAATCCTTGCACAATATATTGAAATAGGAAATTAAGTCCATGTAAGTGTATTAAATAGTAAAATATCCCTGTACAGGGTATTAAAATAGCGGGGGGAAAAAAAGAAATTAAGGAAAATAAGGCACTGGGCTGAACTTTCAGAATGTGTGTTTCCAACAGGCCTCTCCTGAAGCCCAGGGGTACAAAATTCCCAGGAATTCCAGGCAGTTCCTGCAGTTTCCAGGACAATCCCGGGATTCCTCCTTTCCCAGCAGGATCTGAGCTCTCAGGGCCTGAGTTACAGGGAGCCCAAAAGCCAAGCTGGGCTTCATTTCTGTCTGGAATTGGCTGAAATGGAGGTTTTGGGGGGGTTTTTGTTTTTAACACACCTGGAAAAATCATCCCGTTGTTCCTCAGCCTTGGTGGGAGTGCAGAGGAGGTGGAATCATCCAAATCCATGTTCATTTTCATTATTATCTTTTATTTCATTATTATCTTTTATTTGATTATCAGCCTTGGGAAGCCTCATGTGGGAGGGAAGGGGAGCAGGGAGGAGTGGAAGCAGGAGAGGGAAGTGCCCAGGGATTTGTGGGGCCAGGAGAAGGTGCAGCTCTGCCTGACCTGGATCAAAGCAGGGCCTTGGAGCTCATTTCTCCATCAGGCACTCGCTGGGTTCCTGCAGCTGGAGGTTCTTAACTCAGAGGGATTGGCCAAATTTTATTAAAAAAGCCCCCAAAACACCCAGCCAGGACGTGCAGCTGCTTTAACTCACTCGAAGGGATGTTTGGGTGATTGGTTTTATTTTCCTCCCCCACAGAAATAAGGTATTTTTGACTCGTTCAGTGCAGTTTAAGGAATTCCAGGATGGAACATTCCCGTAGCTGTGGATTCTGGCACGAAGCAACTTGTTGTCTCTGGAATTTCTTACACATGGACAGGGATCTGAACTGTTGTTTTCTGGATTTTCCAGTTCCTCAGGGACCCTGGCATGCCTGGCTTGGAGGAGCTGGACAATTCCCCGGAGGATGAGCCCCAGGCTCTTGTGGCTGGAGAAGGAATCCAAGCCTGGAGCAGCAGCCCAGGGTGACAGCTCTTCATCCAACACCCCCAGGGACAGGGGAACCACAGAAGAGCCCCCCACTGAGTGTCCCCTGGCCCAGGGCTTCCAGCAGCTGCTCCCAGGGTGTGGCTGAGCAGGGACAATCCTGAGCAAAACATGGACCCTGGGATGTGTCTCAGGGGCTTCTCCTGAGCTCCCCCAGCACCTCCTTCTGCCAAAGGCACTGAAAAGGAGGAACACGGAAGGGAAACAAACACTAAACTCAGAAAATAGTTAAATTCCCACCCCAGGTTGGAATAAAGCTTTGAGGAATTGCAGCACTTTACAGGAGGGTGTAGGAGAACATGGGATTTTTCAGGGAGTGAATCACTGCAGTGTAAATTCCTTTTATAGCTGATTTTCTTTTGTTGGCAATAATACTCTTGTTATATCCACCCCACTCTGCTTCTCTGAATCATTTTCAGCACATGGCAAGCTAAAAAGAAATTTGTTAGTCCTTTCCCCAGGATGAAGCAGTGCCACAAACTCCTCCCTGAGAGGCCTCCTCCCATCTGCTTCCTCACAGCCACACCAGTGCCCTGCACAGCCAAACAGACTTGAAAATAACATTTAAACCACGTATCAGTCATGATCAGACACTAAAACCTCCTGTTCACCACCAGCAAAGGGAAAGTTGGCTGAGAGAGGTGTTTTGAGTGCCCTAAAGCAGAAGAGCCCACGTTCAGCCTCCTGTGGGGTCTGGAAGGTGTCCAATAAAGCACAAAGAACAAGTGAACCACTTCTGCACTAAAAAGATGGGGTTTAATTGACGCTTTTTCCTGGGTTTGATACAAATTGTGTAAAAGAAAGGAAAGAAAGGGGCTTGTCTGTTTGCAGGTGACTCAGGGGAGGGGCCTGGGCCCTGTCAGAGCTGGGGGTAACTGAGGTGAGGCCCTTCCATCCTTTCCAGGGACACTCCAGGCCAGCAGAGGCCAAAAGCTAAATGAGGTTAGTTTGCCTTGCAGAACTAATCTAATCCCCTGGGATTAGGCAACCTGCTGGCACAGGGGAGTTCTGTGAGGGCTGAGTCACGTTTCATGGCTGGAGGGATTGTTTGAGCTGCAGAATATCTGCTTTGAACCACCCCCTTCTCTGGGCTGGGCTGGGCACAGAGGGGGAACCACAGCTCACAGCAGCAACCACCTCATGCACAACAGAGGGCACAACTGTTAAAACATCTCCTGGGAATATATATATATATATTCCTGAATAAACCCTACACCAGCCTCTGTCAGGGAAGGGTCTGTCAGGGATCCGAGTCATTAAATATTGTTACACAAACAGGCCCTATTTGACACAAATAGGCCAAAGTTAAAAACCAATTTGCTTGGGGTACAGAACACAAAGAATCCCAGACTGGTTGGGGTTGTGGGAGGGACCTCAAAGCCCACCCAGTGCCACCCCTGCCA